TCTGCTGATAGTCACCCTGTATCATTTTTCAGTAATGCAGGTCATAATAAAATCATCAAAATATTAAACTCACGTTTAATACATGTGGTAAACAACCACATGTAGCTGTTTTGCTGTGTGTTATTGATCGTTCTCTCAACAGGAGTCACTCTGCATAGATAGTCACCCCAATTGAAAGTGAGCTCAGGAGGTCTTTAGTCCATTCTCCTGATCAGAGCAGGACAGCTGTCAGATCAGACCAGGTTTCTCAGGGCTTTGTCCAGTCAGGTCTTGAAAACCTCCCAGGAGAGAGTTTAGCCATATTCAAGCTCTTAGTCTGTTGTATATGTGAAATAAAATGTGTTCATTTAAATTATGGCAGTTTAAGTTAGCATGTTTTACCTTGTATTTGCAATGGGGTAATAGCATGTAATGACCAATGATTGTAGTTCAGCTGATAAATGGTACTGCACAAGCCATAATGACCTGACCGCTTGTGAATACTTCTAGATGGACTTACCTGTACAAACAGCATTTAATAGAACAGACTGTTGATCTAGCTTGGAGCTTCTAGGGGCTATTGGAAAAATAAGATGTGAACACTACAATAATTGGATTAAAGAACTAAGCATCCTGTATGCTGGAATCAGGTTCTTACTCAGTGACCTTTATAAATTTAGTTCAATCGTACTTGAAGTACAGTTGCAGAGTAACTTTTTAACATTACATATTCAGTATAAAGTGTATTGGTGTGCATGCATGATTACATAGCAGTCACTTTTTGCAGGGAGGTAGGCTGGTAAATACGGAATGCACCAAAATATAACTCTACTACGTGGCTATATAAGGATTAGCTGGCATATGGACATGGAGTGACTATGAATGCACAAAAAGAGATGACTGGCAGAATATTTCTACACTGTGTACTTTTTCAGGTGAGATAGCTCTCTTCAAAGAAAGAAAACAAAGTATTACCTAGGGCTGTTCAAGACGTTTCTAAGAAACTGCCTTTTCTTTGATAAAGTACAGTTTCATCAAAACCTTTTTTTTTTTTCTTGCAACAACTGAGATAGCAGTTTTGTCAGAAGAGTTGTTTGGGTGAGGACAGAGTTCCTTGTCAAACTGAAGAATGGGGTTAAGGGGAGCACAGACATCTTCAGCTATTCCGAATAGCCATTTAGTCAGTGGAAGAGAGGTACAAGACACTCTATCTTGTCTTCCTAAGTCGAAAAGTTAATTTTTGTGGTGCAGGTGCTATAAAGTAGTAACATGTGACATAAATTTTTTTCATCTCTCTCTGCTTTTTGTTTATACTAGGCCTTTTGAATCGGGAGCAGCAGGAACCTGAGCTCTGGTCTTCTTTTGAGATGGTGTCTCAACCACTCAGATGTTGATATGAATCATGAATCTCTTCTGTTGGATTTCACTTTACGTAAAAATGAGTGAACGGTTGGTTGTTAGAACAAATTAGGACTTACCTTTCAATCTGTTCCCTTCCGACTATCTTAACCAGCAGACTTTCTGGTAGATATGTCAATATCTTTCTTTCTATTTTTTTCCACAATTAATGTCGCAATTTTTGAAGTTCATCTCTATACACAAAGGAACCATTGTTTAAATCTCATGCATTTTTGCAAAGACAGGAAAACTCCTTCCTGCCCTGTTCTGGTATTAGCTGTTTAGTACCTCAGATCTGATCCCATTGCTGCTCCATACACATAAATCTTCTTTAGTCAATAGGACTGTTTCTGCCTGAAGGAATGCATGATCAGCTGCACACAGAAGCATAAAATAGATTTTTCTGCTTCGAATCCTTAAAATATTTTTATCAGGAAATAATTCCCAAAGCTGTATGTAGCTTGTATTTCTTTCCCTTCATTGAACTTCTTTCCTATACTTGTTGCTTGCTGAAGAATTGGACCTTTCATCTCATTTTTCAAGCCTCTTGGTCTAAATTTTACCTTTCCTGTTTGCTGTATGTCCTTATTTTAACATTTTGGCATGATATACTCTCTTGTAAGAAGTTTGTATGGAATACTGCTAAATCACTGAGCATTGATTCAGGTAGCTTATTCTGAAGTAATCTAGCACAAAATCATAACAAACCACAGGTACTGAAGCAATCTGGCAATGGATCAAAGGACAGTAATGCAGTATGGTAGTACAGTATAATAGTAGTGCAAAATTTTGTTAACATGCTCCTCCACATGTAACTCTACAAGTGCTAGCTATGATACATCTGTATCTATGATACGTGTGCTGCAAATGGCATGAAATTCTCTAGGATATACCAGACAAACTGGAGATTCTCCAGTGTAAAAAAAACAGAGACCTCTTTAATGAATATAAAACATATTCAACAACCTGGCTAGAGGGGATATTTCTTCCAAATGTCCTCATATGCCACTTGACTGGCATCCATTTGTTTGGTTATGTCCCTTCTTAATAATCCCTATCTCTAAGGTTGAATACTATTGGTAGTTATTTTTGAAAGTGGCTAAACTCTTGAACTCAGTTTTTGTAGGAATAAGTTTCACATATTAATTATACAAAAGTTCTTAAAAGGTGATTTCTTTCAGTTTTATCTTTTAGACGGTGCTCAACCCCATAGTGTGTATTGTGGGAGAGGGGAAACTGAGCTTTTCAACTCATATTTTTTGCAGCATCTTTTAAACTTCTATTAATTTTCTCCTTTGAAGATATTTGTGTTAATCATTTTAATGTTCCCTCACCTCGAAATGTTCCCAGCCTCTGATTAAACATGGTGCCCTTTCTCTGGATCCTTTCTATTTCCAGTAAATCACTTCTGAATTGGAGTGACCACAGCTGGGCTCAGTATTCAAGATGAATGCACACCACTGACTTAGGCCATGGCATTGTAATACTCTCAGCCTTATACCCTAATCCTTTCTTCATACATCTTGACATTTTGTTTGCTTCTTGATCGCTGCTGTGCACTGCGCAGATGTTTTCATGGAATTGTCCACAGTGACAACAAGATCTTTTTCATGAGTGATTGCATGTGAGTAATTATAACTCAGCTATGTGTATGAGCAGTTGAATTGCCCTTTCCAGTGTGTATCACCTTGAACTTTTCTGCAATTAATTTGATCTGTCATGAACACTGTGCAGACGCTTAGTTTAGTTTGGCCATTCTCCAAAGTCTTATTTAATCTTGGCTAATGGAAATCATGTCACATAAAATATACTTTTTCTGGCAAAAAATATTTTGCTGCTAAAGACTTTGTTCGAGGTTATTAACAGTATTTATTGCTATTTGTCTCAGCTACTGCCTGGACTTTGCACGGTATTTTCCAAGTCAAAAAGAAAGACTTATCCTCCAGGGAGTTCAGCTTCTAAACACAGCTTTGAGAGAAGGGATTCACAACATAACTGGAATATTCAGCATGATCATTACCTACACCCTGTTTTTTTTTTTTTTTTTTGAAGTATGTTGATCATTTTTAATAAGTTTTGAAAAAGAGCTCTGCCTAGATACTTTTCAAACTCCTCAGTGTACATCAGCTGGTATCCCTGTAGGCCAGATAATATATTGCATGTTGTGAAACAGTTTCTTTACTACTGTAGATACCTGTGACAGACTTCCTTCTCTGATGAAATGTGATTATCAAATCTGACCCTTTTTAAAATCTTTTTACCAGTTTTTAACCCCAGGCAGAACTTTATCCTATGATAGATTTGTTTCTTAAGCAGCTTCACATAAGGAATGGTGTTAAAAGCCTTTTGTAAATCCTAATAAATAATGTTAACTGGATCTGCTTTAACTACTATTTTAACAACATCCTCAGGCTCAGATTCAGCAGTCAATCCATATTTAGCAAAACACTTCATCACAAACTAGAAATGAAACGCATGCCGTAGTGCTTTGCTGAAGAGAGATGAACTTAAGCATGTTTTCAGAATTGCTGCACAAGGGACTTGAGTTGATTAAGCAGAAGGTGAGCAGAGACTTTCACGTTCATAGTATTCTTTATACTTTTTTTTTCATCACAACCACCTGCTATGTAGTGTCTAATATCTTAACTGTAGTCCTCCTGAGACATTGACTGCTTTGCTTTGGTACCTAACTATCTGACATGTAGTCCGAGAAAACATCCATCCCCAGCTGCGTTTTCTAGATGTCATGTTGTAGGAATATATGCTACTGTTTCTAGTGGCAGGGTAACTAGTAGCAAAATATGGGAGAGACACAGAACCCAGCTGTGTGTTTTATTAATATTTGTAACTGTAATATCTTCAGGGAATTGACATTGCCACATTGCACTCTTGCCTAGACTTGGTGGCTGTCCATTTTGCCTGAAAGTAAGATGAAAAGTGTTCATTCTTCTGTAGCTAATGCCCAGTGAAAGAAAGCTTCAGTGTGTCTGTTGTGCCTACAAAAGTATAACACTCCTGATGATAGGACACAGATCATCCAAACAACATTCAACGGTAGTTCTTTGTCTCCTCCTTCTTTCTCCATTTCATGCCACACCAATGTTCTGTACATTGTTTCAATGTCTGGCAACACAGAAGATTGATACAGATCAGGGTTCTCAGTTTCTCCCATTACCAACTTGGTGATGATAGCCGAATAGAAAAGCCTTTTACAGCATTGAATGAAGAATAAATCTATAAAGATTTAATTAACCTCTGCAGAGCTTACTGAATCCTAACTGAGTTTAATCATAGTTTTTGTAAGTTAGGAAATGCTTGGCATATTTTTGACTCTTGTATAATAGTTTGAGCTGGCTATATATACAAACCAAATTTGTAAATTTAAATTAATAAATGCTTTTATTAGAATTTACTGGCACAGGAATTCCCACTTGTGTGTACAAGCAAAAAACATTTCTGCTATAAATAAAGCTTTTGTTTATTTCCCCTAGGTACAGATAACTAAAAAAAAAGAAAAACAAAAACAAAGAAGGTGATATGAATCAGTGCATGGAAACAAAGTAGTAACATACATTATTTTCTACTGACTGGGCTTAACATGTCTTGTTCTTTTGCTCCCATAGATGTCATTGTGAATTATGTCAGTTCATGCTGAAAGAGTGGATTGAAAGTGACTCGCTCTGGATTTATCCATTCCCATCCTTTGTTTCAAGAGGATTGAGTTAAAAACTTTTACTCCAAGGCTAAAGACCTACCAAAACTACCTTTATTATTTATAGTTCTTATGGCTGTCACATCGCCATCTCAAAGTCATTGACCAAGACTCCGTTGAGCTAGGTAATATGCATAAAGAACAAAAAAGGATGTTTTGGCACTGAGAGCTTACATTTGAGAATAAAAGGAGACAATAGAATAAGAAGAACAGTACAAGGAATGAGTGAAACAATGCTGATGATGGAGCAGGGAGCCCAGCTCTCATGAGGTGTCAGAGAGGAGTTCAGAGATAGCCCCTGCCTGTGTGGACAGACCCATGTCACAGCAGATGGGCCTGAATGACAGGCAGGGAGTGATTTTATCCACAGAGGCAGAGAAAGGAAGTAACAGGAACTGGAGGAAAAGAGGAAGGAACCTGTCCTAATTATGTGGAGTTTGACTTGATAGCTGAAGATCTATGAGGCCAAGATGTTAATGTGAGCAGAGCAAGAGTCAAATCTGGAGTAGAAAGATTGACTTATAATTCACCTGTATAGAAATGGACATCTGAGTTGTGTTTATGAGTATGATTAGTCTCAGAGGAAGTTAGAAGGAGAAACTGGAAACACAGACCAAAGTTGGAGTATCTGTAATAGGGTCTGTCACTTGTAGGCCTCACATTCTGCTCCTGTAACCCCTCTGCCCTCTCTGGAAGTGACTAGTCTGTTGGAGGTACTAATGCCCTGACCCACGTAACACTATTCAAGAGCAAATTACTTCTGGACATCATCATCACTACTCTGTACAGTATTTAGGGAATTAGCAACGATTACTGGACAGTATCTTGTTTGGGGAACCTCGCTGGAGTTGCCACAGAAAAAGCCAGCACTGACCTTCTGCAATTCTCTGTTGTCTTTAACTGACCGGTGGACCTTTTGCCCTGTTCGACAGACAAAAAATGTAAGGGCAAAACCTGCTTTCCTACCTATATTCTGTTCCCTCCGCCCTCCCTCTCCCCCCCCTCCCCGGCAAGTGAAATACAACTATTTTCCATGCGTTGGTGCTTCCTTTTAACAAACTGGAAGGAACTTCTTGAATCTGCTTTTTTTCCCCTACAGTGAAATCCGTGTCTGAGTGGTTTTCTCTTCTAGAAGCATGCAAGAAGAATCCTAGCCTGCCCTACACTGCTAAGAAGATCTTAAACTCAGGCAACAATCTTATGCTTTAAAGAAGTCTCATGAAGAAGCCACAGGTTCAGCTCCAGAGCCAAATAATCCTGTTATACTAATGCAGATATTACAGCTTCCATACACTCTCTCTATGGTACTTTGCTCTCTAGTTCTCCCTTCCTCCTGTGCCAAACGAAGAACCATAGGGTTAGAAGGGACCTCGAGTGGGTGTCTAGACTATTTTCCTGTCTTGGTACCAAACAGAAGCCTATCTGCAAGGCTATCTGCAAGAAGAGGGTTTAAGGAATAAAACAGTAAACACAGAACAGCAGAGCAAGTATTGCAGAGAAAGAGAGAGAGCGTGAGCAGATCCAGCAAAGGTGCATTTATTTAGAAGAACATGAGACACGAACTTTCAGCAAAGCCTGTTTGAACATGCAGGTGAGCACATTTCAGCATGAACAGGCTTAGAACGGAAGCCTGGTATGGGTAGCAAAAGCAGCTCCTGAATGTACTGTCTTCCCTGGTTAGGTTATATACAAAAAGACTGAATGAGCTCACTAGCTTTATAATAGGTGGCCATGGCCACACCCAGCAGTCTCCTCTACTAACCCTGGCAAGCACTGGCTCCTGGTGGGAAAACACACTATGGATGAGGAGGGGACAGGCAGGCTGGGGTAAGCAAAAGCTGCTTTTTCTCTCTCCTTACCATGAACTTTGGGTTAGCTGAACCATGCCAGGCAGAGGAAGGCTATGGCAAGTGTCTATTAGGAAGCTGCAACTGGGGATGGATGTTTGGCTCTGGTTTGATGCCTTCATTCACTCAGAGATGATGAGACCTCATGGAGTTATCTGCTGTCATTGCCCATTCCGTGCTGTTGCCCCAAAGGTAAGGAAAATGTAAGATATTTTTTCACTAACAAATTGGGTGAGCTATTTGTCCTTCCCCTCCTCAGGGCTTTGAGGGAGCAAAATGCTTTAGGGGAACAACCCTATGTAAACCTGGCCCAGGAGGCTTGCTTACAGTGTTTTGACATCTGATGCCCACCCTTCTAGCTCTCTGTCTTTCTTCTCCCTCTCTTTCCTCTCTCTCTCATTCTTGCTGTATTTATCTCTTTATCAATTTGCTTTTCCACAGACATTTTAGCTTCTTTTCCTGATTTCTTTGAGTAAGTTTTTTAATTGTTTGAAGAGTAAAATAAAGGGATAAGAAAGCTGTCTTCTTTTTTTCCACTTTCACCATTAAAAAGACTACACTTTTTTTTTAATGAACTCAGGTTTTTGGCTAAGATAGAGTCATCGTAAATTTTCTACTTGTGTAAAGAAAAACAGGACATATTTGTTTTCCATTCATGAACTCACTTGTTATATTCAAGACACTTCGGGATGTGGGCTCAGAATATCTAAAAGACCATATAAATCTCCAGAGTAAATATCATAGCCAAAAAGTTCATGTCTTTCTTTGCCACATTACGACTTTCTTCAATAAAGTAAAAGGTCAGGTGTGCAGTATATTCATTGTGGCCGGGCCAATATCCTTATAAATCTTTCCACCTTCATGTCAAAATGTCAGATACTTTTTTCTAATTGTTTACCTCTCCATAAAAATATGTAAATTTACTAAAAAAAATCCACCCTCTTTATACTTTAATGAATGTTATCTTAAAAAATAAAAGCAGAATAGACACAACAACCCTTTGAAAGAGAGGTACTTCACTGCACGTGCTTGTAATGCTACACAGACACAGAAGGAACAAATGCAACAAATGATAATTATGTTGCTTAGCCTGGTATTGGGAAGTGTTCAGATACCATGGAGGTGATTACAATGACAGAACCTATATAAAACGCTACCAGACCGAAGAAAAATGATATTGAAATAGCACTGAAAGTTCAAGGCTGCTTATGAAAAACGTTATTTTTCCCTCCATTTCTGGCTTCAAAATAATTATTTCAAGAGCTATTTTTTACATCATACAGTGTTTCTGTTCTCTGTCTACTCAAAAATGGAAAACTTTCAATGCTGAAATATCTTATTTCAGATCATCAGCTGGTAAAGATCAGCCAGGCTCCATTATATGCCTGTTTGCACCAGCTGAGATTCTGACCACAGATGCTTTCCTGCCTGTGAGTAGGAAATGGGTGTTCATGTGAAGCAATAAGAATAACCTGAAAGCTAGCGAGCCCCCTATAAACTATTCATGGCTAGAACAAAAGAAGTGCTAAATGTTCCTTTTCCCAGAAGCCCTTAGCTTTTGGACAGCTCTGTAACAGTGGGAAAAAGAAGGCAGGACTGTCCACAATTCCAGTACTGCATTACTGACAGTTAGGGAATGAACAGTTTAAAAATGGCTCCAATTTTTAAGTGACTCATTTTTCATTCTGTATGTGCAGTCTTGTGCTTTGGTTACCATTAGTCCAGTTAGAAAAGAGGCAAGCGATAGGAGAAATAAAAGCAAATATTTGAAAACCAAATACAAAATAGTCTAAACCAATGTTTTCCGTAATGGGAGGGCATCACACATTACGTATCTCTCATAGCTTGGGAGCGAGCAGCAAATGCTGCTCATATTAAGAAGCTGGGAATCTTCATTTTGCAATGGCAAAACTCCTCTACTTGCTTACAGACTCAATGAATCATAAGACACTGGATTTTCAGCTTACATAGGAACACTATTGTTCATTTTGCATCCAACTGAGAGCACCCTAATCGGAGGCTAGAAATATTCCACACTTAGGCAAAATGAAGAAAAAGCCCCATAAGCTTGACATGTTTATATTTGATATAATATACCAGCTACTTGAAGCGATTCAGAGATTTTCGAAGTTGGAAGGGACTCAGGGAGAGAAATAGACTAAAAGGTACAGTGCAGATGAGGATGGCATAAAAATGCAATTTATCATCTGGTTATGAAGTTTATTACATGAATATCAATGTCAGGTGGGTTCTTGAAATGAGACGTGTATATACTCCTCAACCTTTCCAGGAAAACATCATCACCCTTTGCAGTAGTTTAGCACAGGATGCAAGTGCATTAGAAGACAGGATACTGGCACTGCTCAGCGTATCAAATATATGTACTGACATTTTGCAGTAATGATTGTTACCGTGGGCTATAGGACAAATAGGTTTCAATGAGTCTTTTAAAATTCCGTTTTAAATACTGCCAGGAAATGACGAATGTGATATCTAGTTGCAGGGAGAGCTTAGTAAAGGAAAATGTATTATCCAGATGTGCATTTAGCTTAGAAAGGGCATTGAATACTCCTAATGCTTGTGAGCAGTGCCATGAGATTAGCTCGCTACAGGCTGTCAAGAGCTTGCCAATTTATAATGTTTAATTATATATATCCTATGTTATAATTCATTAGTACCTTTAGTTTTTCTATTGTTAAGACATTTTAATGTTTCCCCTTTCCAGATAACCACAACCAAATAAAAATAACCTACTAAAATGATTATTTTTACCAGTGGAAAACAAGTTAGCCCAAACTGTTTTTAAAAGGGGCGGCTTATTTATTCTTTTCCACTTATTTTAACAGGGCTTTTTTTGCTGAAACTAAACATATTTTCCATGCTGGCTCTTAGCAAAAGAGAGGAGAAAGCTGGAGGGCAAAGGAGATAGACCTCTGTCATCAATCTATAGTCTTCAGGAGCCTAAAAGCATAATAGTTACCTATCACTTTGTTCTGCATTCCTCAAAAACAGCATTAGTAAGAACAAGGATTGCCACAGTTGCTGTTATATACTAGATGTAAACATTATTGTCAATTGGCTTTCGTTACTAAGAATGGCATGCCGTTCCAAGCCAAATTCAATTTCCATTCCCTTTTGTTGAACTTTGCCCAATTTGGTTACTCAAAGCACAATAACTGTGAATTCATAAGTTGCTTTCTATTGCTTCTTAGTCACTTTATGGAGAAAGGCTCTTTTATTATGAGAGGTTTGTAGGTTTGTTTGGGAACTAAGCTCCTAGGGTTCATTGCACACATACCTGATGGAGAGAGGTAGATACTTGGATGCTCTGAATTGCCTTTTGGAGTACCCATTGGCCATCAACTGCACATTAGTACATAAGGTAGGAAGAATAAGTATCCTTTTTATAAGGGCTTATCAAAAAGTCCCATTTAAGATCAGGGTCTTGTTAAGCTAAGTATGGTGCAGACACACAGCCAGAGATGGGCCTTGCTTGCTTGAAGAGGAAACAGGTATAGAAAGCTGAAAAGACTTTGCTGGTGCCCTATGCCGGAAAACTTTTTGCCCAGATCCCAAGACTGTCCTTTCTCTGCCCCACTTGACTTTTCTTTACCCGTCATTGTAGAGAAAACAAAAACAGCATTCCTAAACGTGTCCTTTGACTCCAAGATTAGACTCCAAGTCCTGCTCTTCCCTTAAATCTCTACAAACAGAGTTTTAGTAGACAAGGTAGAGTTTTTGTCAAAAAAAATCATCAATTCTTGGGGTTTTTTTATATATTATGGTGGTCTTTTAGATGTAATAGCTATTATATTTGCACGAGATGCAAGTGCACAGAGACTTAAATCAGGTCCTCAAATGGCAGAAGTTACTATGGCTTTCAATGGCTCTTGAGTTTTTACTTCACAGGAGTTATGCTGGTTTACACCAATTGTTGATCTGATCCTTTTCCTTGCTGGCATTCTAATCAGGAAGTATCTCTTACCTTTTCAGATGCTATTGAGGGCCTAAAATAGGTGCACCCAGGGCACATCTATTCTGTACTCAGAAAGAGTGGGATGGCAGTGTGAATAATAAGGGAAATAACAACAGTGGCTATCAATGGGAACTCTGCCTGTCAGCATAGCGTCATGTCCAAAAAAACCTCGCTATATATCAGGTGATCGTGGATTTAGCTAATCCAGGTTCTTTCAGAAGAGAGTCATGAATAAAAAAGTGGAAATAAAGAATGGCAGTGTTCTGGCTGCATCATTCACATTTTTGAGAGGCTTTGCTGCATTATTGTTAAAGGTGGCAATGTGCAGAATAGCTTTTCTGGCTGACTCATGCTTTTCCACTGGCAACATGATGACTGGGAGCCAGCCGTGCGGAGCAATGCAACAGGGAGGAGGGAGAACTGGAAAGTGATGTCTCAGAGGTGGGACTGTTGCCTCTCACTTGCATGGGGTTTAAAGATAATCACAGAATCACAGAATGGCCAAGGTTGGAAGGGACCTCTGGAGATCATCTAGTCCAATCCCCCCTGCTCAAGCAGAGGGTCATCTAGAGCACGTTGCACAGGAGAATAATGATGAACTAGGCCATAGCAAGCCTAGGATGGAATAGAGGAAGAACAAATAGCACTTGAAGTCGGGTTTAATGGTGTTATCCCTGCTTGTTTACATAGCAGAATTTTGAACATGAAGAGGCAAGCACAGTTTCTGTAGAAGTGCTGAGAGATACAATGGACTGGAGCTTGCTAGGAGAGAGTCTCGGTGCAAATTTATCTTTACTGCACTATTCCCCTCCTTTGAACACTGTAATGACACAAATCTACCTCAGGGTGAAATGCCTGGATTTCCTTGAATCTGGGTCCCAAAGTCAGAAATTCAGACGTAACCATGATTTGGAGCTGCACTGGGGCATGTTGTCTGTTTAGTTGGGTACCAGCCTGATCTTAAGGCCAGACAAAGTGTTTTCAGGAGCAGTAACTTGGCAAAACCATGCTTGCTTTAGGGGAAGCCTGAGCACATTAGTGTGTGCCCAGGTTCTCATTCGTGCATGCTGGATACCCTTCCATTCACCAGCACCTAGTAAGTAACGGGACTCTAAGCATAGGGCGGCTCTTGTGAATGCAAGCTTGCAATCAGATAGCACTTATGTCTGAAGAATTAGTGTGCTTTTGCTGTCCTCTCCGTATTATCCTGTAACAT